AATTGACATTTAAACAACATTTTATTTCTGCGAGAAAAGAAAGCTTCTCCAATAAATAATAATGTTTGTTAAAAGGAATTTAATGTTTTTAACAAACGCTTTTATTTTAATAATTTATTTGCAAAATATTGAGTAGGATTTGAACCCATCACCTAATATTGTGTACCCGCATTTACCACTAGGCTTCTAAAATTACACCGAAAGCGGCAATATAAAACTAAGCGTAAAAACTTCGTCACAGACAAAACGGAAAACACGCCAGTTTCGATAAGAAAGGGAGTGTTTAACCAGGCTACTGATAACGGCGATGCAGACCAGCGATGATTGGAAGTCATACATATGCGACGCTTTTATCTGTTTAAAAGTAATATTACTGACTCTACAACTACTACTACTACTACTACTACTACTACTACTACTACTACTAATAATAATAATGATGAAACGATATTTCTTCTTCTTCTTCTTCTTCTTCTTCTTCATCTTCTTCTTCTTCTTCTCCTTGTGTTTACGTTCGATGTCTGCTGCTGAGAATTTCGCCGGAGATTAAGTGACAGAAAGTCTTCTAAAATCTCCAGCATATTCTTCAGTAGCTGAGCAGATCCAAGGAAAGCAGTGTTTCAATTCTTCGTCGCGTTTTTAATACACACTCAATCTTGATTTCAGTGGGTTTTTTTTTTGTCCTGATCCAAGTGTATCATTTATTATTATATCATGACAGAAAAATTTCATCTTTCACATTTTCCTCAGTTCGAGGATAAAATACAGGGATTAGATTTTTACGAACTTTCATTTTCCCTCCTGTTTTCAGGGGCTAATCGACAAGCAGATCTTTTCTTACTTTTGTCATAGTCTTTTATCCAGGGTTGAGAGCCTCAGTGTCGATATCATAATCAGAAAGAATTTTCTCCTCTCCCTTTGATAAAATTTCTTCACACAGTTGAATTTAATTCGTTTGCTCAATGACCATTATGAGATTTTCACTTAAATAATAATAATGATAATAATAATGTAGATTACTTGCATTATTTCCATTATTCAGACTGTTATCCTCATCTTCAATGCCATATTCACAACGTTTCGGCCGTTGTACGCTCCGGCCTTTATGTCTATGTCTCTCTATATATCTGTCTATATCTCTGAGTTGAGGTATTATGATTACTTGAATTATCTACATTATTCGGACTGTTATCCTCATCTTCATTGTCCTATTCACAACGTTTCGGCCGTTGTACGCTCCGGCCTTTATGTCTATATCTCTCTATATATCTGTCTATATTTCTGAGATGAGATATTATGATTACTTACATTATTTACATTATTCGGACTGTTATCCTCATCTTCATTGCCATATTCACAACGTTTCGGCTGTAGTACCCCTCAGTCGTGTTCGGGTGATTGGAATTTCGAACCGAACCCTTCATTTCGTCCACCGAGGCAGATTCTTCTCGTTTCACGTGCCATGCCCCTTCCGGATGTCTCAATTATTTTCCTTTAACTCAACTCTCTAATATTTTTTTTTGTTCACTGCTGTGACCTGGTACTGAACTCACAACTCTTTGAGTCTAGTAACTGGATCTAAGAACATCTTTATCCACTCGGCCATGGGTCCTAATCGTTGACTACAGCAAAAGGTCTTGAGAGACATCTTGAATTCTTTTTTTTACACCAGTGTGAATCCCTTGAGGTACGTAATGGATAGCTGCTCAGAATGATATATCGGAGATTTGAGATCGAATTCCAGTCGGGTTCCTTACATTGACTTACGCTCAAATACCATTGGGAAAAGTACGAATACAACTCCCCATATATGGGTTAAATAATACGACTTGTAACTGGAAAAATCATTTTTTATTCTTCAAATATTGTTAATGCAATATTCACTCGGAAAAAGAATTATTTTTACATGTTTAGACTTTAAATAAACCACAATGGGTTGATAACCCGTAAAAAGCAAATCAATCAACGAGCATGAAGCTAACAACAAGCTATATTCAGTTATGTAAAAAACAAAACAAATTCAAACAATTCTTCTACAAACGATGAAACAGAACGTAAATTTATCACATGTAGAGGCAAAAAAGTTAAACAAGATATAAGGGCCAAATTAAACTGAAAACCAAATAGGAAGAAAACCCCTTACGGGGCCGATATCCATTGCTGGCGCAAGAACTCGAAGTTGACAAAGATCTGCCCCGTTCTTGGTTGAAGAATCTTTGGTTGAAAAGTCTAAACAGAAGGATTCATCCGAGTTACTCAACATCAAAACCTCCCAATAAGACCCTTCCAGTTACATACGATGGATAGGAATCATACAAAAAGGTTTCTTTTGTACAAGCGCTGTGGAACTATTGACCAATTAATATCCGAATGCTCTCGTTTAGTCCTAGATGATTTTAAATATAGACATGATAGAGTCTGGAAAATAACTGCATTGACAAAGTATACCGACATTATAACCATAATTCTCGTGAAGAAAAATGATAGGAAATACAAACTACCATCAGTGCTAGAAGAAAATGATAATGTTACAGTACCCTAGTAATTCACCATACGTCAAAACCGCCCTATACAAGATAATAATATCAAATAAAAATCTAATAGTAATAAAAATATACTACTAATAATAATAATAATACTAATAATGATAATAATAAAAGTAGAGTCAAAAAGATCAAACAAAAAGAAAAAAAGAGCCCAATTAATCTGAAAACCGAATGGGAAGAAAAATCCTTATATGACCGACACCCATGGCTGATGACAATGCCCGATCTATGGTTGAAGAATTCTTGGATGAATTCAGAAATAGAACGATTGCTTCTTACTGCTCAAGATCAAAACCTTCCAATAAGATTCTATAAGGCACATAGTTTAATAAAAGGAACAGATCGAAAAATATCACTTTCGTACAAGTGCCTAGGAATTTGTTGATCGCTAATACCTCTACCTTATCCCTCAAATGAAATTAAATATATATATATATATATATATATATATATATATATATATATATATATATATATATATAATAGGCTAGGAAATACCTGAATTGAAAGATAGGCGATCACCTCAACCTCTGCCCTGGTGTAAAATGAAATGGACGCAACTCGCCGTGAAGACGATAACTTGAAAATGTCACAATAAAAAAATTTTCAAATTAATCATATTTTAATATTTTCAGAATGATACTTTATACTAAAATAACATGAAGTTAGACACGTTAATTAAATAGAGTTTATGATTACAGCTTAACAATATGTGTTAATATCTCTCTTAACAATATGTGTTAATATCTCTCTTAACAATATGTGTTAATATCTCTCTTAACAATATGTGTTAATATCTCTCTTAACAATATATATTAATATCTCGCTTAATTGTTTGTGTATTAATTGGTTTGTAAGAGTTAACATGTGTTGTCAGTTCCGTAATTACCAAAATGTTTCTAAAAATCAGTAATTAACAAATATTTCGGTAATTTTGGTAAAAACTTCGAAGTTGATTTTTGATTCAATTTAAATTATATATATTTTCGGAACATTAATTAATTTAAAATTAAAAATAGAATATTTCATATTAAATTAAAACTAAATTTGTTTTATTTTTGGATTAATTGATATCAAACACACTTTTTTAAAAATAAGATAATTTTACATACATTTATGAATCTACAAAAGATGATGTCTATAAATGTTTATCAATATTTTTTTTTACATTTACGATAGAAATTAACGTCGAAAACAATTTAAATATTAATTAGCAGTGAAATTTACTCGTTTAAATAACAGATTTCTTCTTTTTGAATTTTCCGATAAACTTACCTTTAAAAAATGATACTTGGGTTCAAGTCTATCTTGTAATTGACTTACTTTACCAATTGATGTTTAAAAACAAAAAATAAAATCTATTATTTTCTTATTTGGATATATTTTGGGAAGTGGGTTTGGCTGACAACTTTTCAGCATCTCCTCGTGGAAGAACATAAAAACAGAGAAAGATTTAAAAGTTAAAAATATAAAATGCTTTCAATAAAACTGGATATCGTTTAAAAATTATGTAAAAATAAAATTGGATATTGTTTAAAAATTATGTAAAAAAATTATTGCGAATCGATCGAAACACGATGGTTAACCCGTGCAGAACAAATCATGACTGGAGTGAGATTGGTCCTCATAAGGGTCATCACCGCCCCGAAATATAGTTTTGTGTTTAAACTAATGTTACTAAACACTCATTTTCTGGTGTTTATTGCAGCCTGGGAGCTCAGAATCTTACAGACAAACTCGCTCATATAATGAATTTTATTGTCACTAAATGACCCACAATGTTGTTAGTTTGTCATAAAATATTTAAATATTGCCATGATTCCATAAATTATTCAGAATTAATGCCGCCCATTTTGGGATTAAATTATAAATTATGCAAATGAAATGAAAAAAAATGGACATTTCAGGTTCTTCACGTAATCACCAACGATTGAAGCCATAATAGAAAAAAAAAGGGAAATAATTGTTTTTGGTATAAAATTCTACTTTTTTTTTGCTTCAAATAATATATTGGTGGATTATCATCTCTGTGGGGATTATCGTCACACATTAATTAAACTATAGCTTCCTCTTCGTTGTTTTCCTACCATCAATTGGGTGAATGGGCTCTGGTCTTCAAAGTGGTTTCGACAGTTATTAATTGAAGAACTAATACAGTGTACAATCTTTAGAAGCACGTTTCGGCCTTTATATTCTACAACCTTTTCTCAGATTTTGCATCTGTTGCTTGTTAATATTAGATTTACATTTATTGAAGTTTAACAAGTTTACAGAAACTCGTAACATTGCAGCTTTCTGTTCGTAAACGAACAATAGGTGAAATTGCCAAACAAAAAAGATGTGTGGTTGGTGCAATGGATAGTGGCTAGAAAAGAGAAATGAGAGATCCGAGTTCGAATTCCCATTGAGTTTATTACATTGATTTACGCGCAAATACACTTAGGAAAGGTATGAATGCCCATTTTCTATCTATCTATCTATCTATCTATCTATCTATCTATCTATCTATCTATCTATCTATCTGTTGTGGTACGATACACCTAATTTACATAAGTGGAGGACCGACCATATAAATATGGGTTGGTACCGGGAAGACGGAGGAGTGAGAAGAGATTCAATCGAGAGACTCTGCCCGACTGCTATTTAGTCAACCCATTCTGCAGGAACAGTCTTCCCAAGAATATACCAAAACTAACTGTAAATATTGTGTACCTTTTCCTTGTTTCAATACATTTTGTTTACGTACATTTTGTGTTGTATTATTATTCCATGCTTATCCAAGCTTCAACACTATCTATCTATCTAAGAGGAAAACCTACCTAGGTTTCACCTAAACGGATCTTCAGGATAAGTTTTATTTCCAATTTTTCCCTCGGTTACCAATTTGTTTTGACATTACTACAAGTTGAGCTGTCTGAGTTTATATATATATATATATATATATATATATATATATATATATATATATATATATATACACTAATTATTGGCCCTGTTATAATAAATACATATAGGCCTTTTGGGGATCAGTTTTAATGTGTATATGGATCCACTTGGATTATACATCAACGGATATATTACCAGCACTGTATATATATATAATTTTATAAACAATAATATATGACAGTTTTACTACCATTTTGGGCACAATATCAACACTCTCCTCGAAAATTTTATATTACAATAAAAATGAAAGATATCATGTTGCTTCTTTTTTTTTATTATATATATATATATATATATATATATATATATATATATATATATATATATATATATATATATATAGTAAAGGTAATAAATCCTATAACCCACAAAAAGTGCTCAATGTTTTCATTATTACAGAGCCAATAATTAGTCTACAATTAGACAAAAAGTCCAAAATTGCCTCATATGATGGATGTGGGGATAGATTTATTTTGTCAGTCTTATTCAACCCTGGTGTATAGACTATACGCCGGGGTTGAACAAGTCTAACGTGGTTTTTGCTAGTTGAAATAAATCTATCCCCACAATATGTGAGATTTTGGGAAATGATCCTGATCGCCAACTTTTCAGTTCCCCCCTCCATATATATATATATATATATATATATATATATATATATATATATATATATATAGTGAACATTGAAGTCAACACTCAGAGGCTGTTTCATGCTAGACACAATCGTCAGGCCACGGGTGTTGGATTTTTTCCCGACGATTTATATGGGTCAGTGGTGCATTGTGGGTAATTCATCCTGGCAGTTAATTTGTCGGGAGTGGCTTTCTTATCAATTTATTTATTTGGGTTGAATTATTTTTACTTGTATATATGTATTTATTCTTTTCGGTTTTCGATGTTTTATTAACGTAGTAAAAAATTTTGGGGCATTTGCTAATGACGCTTATTTAATAGTTTTTTTGGGGGGTTCTGGGAACATAAAGCTATTTATTCGTCCAATTTTTAGATTGATTGCCGTAATTCTGCTATTGGGGGGTCAGTTTTTAATGTGTTTATTATATATTTATTTATTTGGATTGATTACTTTTATTTGTTTTAACGGTTATTTTAGCGGGAGCGATTTGTTAATTTTATTTATTTATTTGGATTAATTTTTACTTGTTTTTACTTAATTATTTACTTATTTTTTATTTTGTATATTTTTATTTACTCTATTCGTTTTCGTTTTTTGAGTAACGTAAAAAATGTTATCGTTATATAGCAGTTATAGCTATGTTTTTCGTCCAGTTTTGGATTGATTGTTGTAGTCTATTCTAACAGTTATTTGGTGGGATTGGTTTGTTAATTTGTTTATTATTATTTACTTTATTTATTTGGGTTAATTAATGATTTTTATGTATTTATTTTTTTTCTTTTTATTTATTCTATTTCGTCTATTCTAGCAGGAGTAGTTTGTTATTTTGTTTATTATTTGTTTGCGTTAATTTGTTTTACTTGTTTTTTTTATATTATTTTGTTTATTTTCATTATTCTTTTCAGTTTTCTATTTGTATGAAACGTAGTAAAAATTTGCTTTCATGTCTGCATTTTGAGATGAGCTCAGATTGTTTATTTAGTAATTGATTTTGGTCTGGGAAGGTAATAATAGCTATTTTTCCTCCAAGCAAAGTTTTTGATTGATTGTTGTAGGTTGATGATCTTTTCTTTATTTTCCATATTTTTGGTGTGATTTGTGTTTTGTTTTTAATTTCCCAGACATACTTAGAAAGCATTGTGCTGTTCGCGTATTTCCTATTTGTAAAATATGTTTTGTGTGCATAGTTTTCCAGGGTCCTTCAGTTACTCCTATGCATACTTTTTCTTCATTATCTGGTGATTTCACCGTGGTTTGGTATATTACGTTGTTTTGTAAACAATTACTATTTAAGAGAATTCATTCTTTATTCTACAGTTATACGTGGGTTTAATTTGTTCGGATGGTTTGTTCATAGTTTTCCTGCTTTTTTATTATTTGTGCCATGTTCTCGGTGCAACTGTAACTGATTTTTACAGTGTTTTTTATTGAATATAAATAAATGAATAACTAAACAAGCCACTCACGCCAAAATAACTGCTAGAATGGATTACTCACAATGCAACACTAACCCATATACAAATAGTCGAGAAAAAATCCAACACTCGCGGCCTGACGATTGCGTCTAGCATGAAACAGCCTGTCGCCTCTGAGCGTTGACTTCAATGTTCGCTTTTATATTTATATTTATATACGCTCTATCTCTAATATTGAGCACTTTATCCCATAAATATAGCACACGTTAAAACTAATATTTCATTCATATATATTATATATATATATATATATATATATATATATATATATATATAGTTAATATAGTTAAAAATGTTAGAAAATTCTGTACAAAAGCTTATTCTATAGACTAAAATGAGGATTGGAAAAAAAGAACCTAATACTTAATATTGTAATATTTATAATATATGAATTTTTACAGAGAAGAATCAAAATTAAACTTTGTTACTTGCATTTGTATTTTCATTGTTTTTTTGAGAAAAATAATTTGTTGTATTATTTTTTTTTTACTTTAACCAGTTTTGCTTAGCTTTTCAAAAAGTTTTTAACTGTTTCTATCTTCACGTGTTGATGCTTATGTTTGGAAGAAATAACTGGCTATAAATGTCGCTTATGGCAAGGGGAATTCGTTTCATGCAATGAATTAAGTATGGGTTTGAACTTGTTGATGAAAAATATTTCCTTATTAATCCGCTTTTGTTCAGTAGTTCTGTAGTCGCACTGGTAGAATGGGGAACACACTAAAATTAAGTAGATTTTGTCCTCCGCATTCCTCTATATGTTGACTAAGGGGTATTGTCATCCTTTCTTTTTATATATATTATATATATATATATATATATATATATATATATATATATATATATATATATAAAAGTTTAAAAACCGTTAGTATATAATCTAAGTGGATACTAGTAATATAAAATATTAAACTGATCCACAAAAAGATCTCAATGTATTTATTATTACAGAGCAAATAATTAATAAAGAATAAAATCCCAAATCATTATTATATAGGGAATAACCTATCCCGACAGATGGAGATATCAGTCGTCTGTCTTATCAACCCCGGTGTGGAATTAGTTCAAGTCGATACAGTTAGAAGAGGTCGAAAGTAGAAGTTAACTGTGAAGACTAAAGAAACCAACTTGCCGAAAACATGTAATACAGAATTTATCTATTTCAATGTTTCAGTCAGACGAAAGGCGCAAGTCAGGGGTCAGAGAAAGATTGTGGAAGGTATTTTTCTTAAAAGAGAAGAAGTTTTATAAAATTAAAATATATATATATATATATATATATATATATATATATATATATATATATATATATATATATATTAGCCAGTGCGAAGTAGTTGCTCACATAATCGACACTTAGATAACAGCTAGAATGTAGCCCTGTATATCCCTGTATATCCGTATATGTTAGATAGTGGACCATTTTTCGACAAAATTTTCGGTATTACTTAATTGCTTTCATAACGAATTTAAAATTTTGAAATATTGAGAGGAAAAAAAAAAAAGGCATGCACGAAACACCAGTCGGGATCGAACGAGACATTAGGGGGACAATGTTAAAAAAACGAGAGGTAGAAACAGGTTTACGAGGATTACTGAGGATTAAGAAATAGAAAATTTTCATTAGAAACAAAGAGTACTGAACTGTTATGTAATATTTGTCCTCCTATATGGCAATGAATGCTGGACAATTTCCTCAGAGATAAAAAGGAGAACGAGGCAGCAGAAATGTGCTTATACAGGAGGATGCTGAGGATAACAGGAAACGAACATGTGAGCAACGACGAAGTTTTAGAGAAAATGGAAACTAAAAGGAAACTAATACTTACCATCTGTAAGAGACCATTGAAATTTCTCGGGAAAGACAGCTTGGAAAATTTGATACTCACAGAAGGCAAGACAACGGAAAACAACACATAAGCCACCTAGCGAGCTTGTGTAAATGGATGGCGGGACAAGGTTTAGGAAAAAATAAAAAGACAAAATTTATTTAGTGCTACAAAGGACAGGACATTTTGGAGAGCAATAATCACCCACATCCTGTAGGGACACGATACACAGTGGAAGAAAACGGTGGAAGGTTGCCAAAAGGTAGGCCCACATATTTCTTTCACATGGATTCAGAGCAATGTTCGGCGTGAGGCAAATTCAAATTTTCCTTTAAGGAATTTCTTGTTTTTTTTTCAAGAATATTTTCCATCCGTGGTTGGTTGAAACCGAGAATGCGAATCCGCGGATGTGAAAAGCCAAATGTACTGAACATTAAGAGTATAGAGACACACGGGCACGCTCGGATGCACAGTTCTATCTATTTACGCACATACATAAAGATCTGTCTTCTTGAAAGAGAGAGGAAAAAAGAAATAAAACACATTATGTGTGAAGCAGTCACCGGAAATGCGATGGCAGCCATATTTCTCGCGTCTAATCTTCCTGATCGTCTTCAGGAATTTTTTCAGCTGTCAATGGAAAGAAAGAAAAAAATGAAATCAAGAAATCATTGAAAATCGTAATTCGTTTGCTCGTGACTCTATCAAGAATATTCTCTTCACTTTTCATTCGCACAGCCGATTTTTTATTGCGTGTGTGTGTGTGTGTGTGTGTGTGCATGTGTGTGTTTTCGATTTCCTCACGAAAAACACTTCGGTTAGCAAATAGTTTACATTCCTCCTCATTCGCACGTCTTTTTTTTTTTTTTTTTTTTGTTAAGCCTGTTTTTATTTTTTCTTTCTTTTTTTCTTCTCTCTTTCTTTCATTTTCTTTCTTTCTTTCTTTATCGTCGTATTTTGTTTTCCTTTTTCCATTTGTTTTTAAATTATTGTTTGTCTTATTTTGGATTGTCTTTCTTTCTTTCTCCTCTTTTTCTTTCTTTCTTTCTTTATTTATTTATTTTTCTCCTTCCTCTCTTTCTTTATTTCTTTCTTTTTCAAGATTTTCAGTTTACTCTGTTAATTTGTTTTTTTTCGTCCTCTTTCTTATGTTCCATTTTCTCTTCCACAATTTCTTTTTCTTTCTTTCTTACATTCACTCTTCAAATTATTCGATTCCCTTTCATTCTTTCTTTCTTTTACTTTTCTTTTTTTTCCTTTTTCTCTTTCTTTGCTTGTTTCTTTTTTCTTTCTCAAATTTTTTCTTCCTGTCATTTTTTATTTGATTTTTCATTCTTTCTTCTTCTATTGAATTTTCTTTTCATTCATTTATTCATTCGTTTATTCAGTCATTCATCTATTCATTCATTTTTCAAGTTTCTTGATTCCTTTGTTTTTTACTTCTTTGTTTTTCTTTTTTTCTTTCTTTTGCTGTTGTATTTTAGTTTTCTGTTTGTAGTTTCTTTCTTTCTTCAAATTTCTCGATTTTTTCCTTTCTTTCTTTCTTTCTTCATTTTCTCCTTTTTTTTGCTACTACACATTTTTTCTTTGTTTTTTTTCTTTCTTCCTTTAAGTTTCTCGATTTTCTTTGTTCATGAATTTCAGGATCGTTCCTTTCTGGGTTTTTCATATCCATTTTTATTTTTCCTTTATTTTTCATTTTTTATTCCATCTCTTTTACGTACCTTTCTACTCATTCATTTCTTTCTTTCTTTCTTTCTTTATTTATTTCTTTCTTTCTGCTCAATTACTTTGATCTTGTGCCATAATAGACGATGTAGCCAGGAAATTAGCCTCACACAATTGTCGCAAAAATTAATGAATTCTCTCTTCATTGCAAGTGCCATACTCACGGGATTTGATAGACTTTCCGAAATATTATCAAGTTGTAAACAGCAAATGAGATTATCGTTTCAATGAAAATATCTTCCTTTGCTTCAGTAAAAGGTTTGAAAAAAAAAAAGGAAAAGCTTTCAAATCATCGACGGAAGAAAAACATCAACACGTTTAATGATTTTTCTTCGAGTACAGCAATCCTAAATTGACATCGACACTATACATACCTTTATATATATATATATATATATATATATATATATATATATATATATATATGAAGGAAACTAATATAAGTAAATAATATCTATCAATCTAATTTCATAGACATGCTGCGGCGGAAATAACAACAGGTGTACGATAAGTAAAAACTTAATCAGTAGATACAGGGATTTAAGTGCCGAGGCATGTTTACCACGAACACACGTCACTCCAGTAGACCAATGCGAAGTCACAAGATTTTATTCATTTTCATCATAGTGTGGGAATCCCAAAAATGTCTGGTTGTATCATAAAGAATCTCTCTCGCCATATATATATATATATATATATATATATATATATATATATATATTACTTAGGATAGTTGATTTCTGTGAAGAGATGATCCAGGAGCTGGAATATTGTGTTTCAATTAACACGTGTGGTCACCACACTTGAAAATTAACATTGGAAATACTGATATTGCTCTGACCCGACTGACTGCATAACTGCATCAGTTACGAAACTAGCAACACACACACACACACACACACACACACACACACACACACACACACACACACACATATATATATATATATATATATATATATATATATATATATATATTGAGACATGTTTCATAATTTAGACAAATTTTGTCTATTTACTTTAAATTGGATGCTTTCATATTCACGAACAAGATTTTGGTGTCATTATTAAAGGAAGAGAGAAAATTACTGTGTTGATACATGTTATTTATTCCGAGTACTCTCGGCATTGCCGCAATGTCATCATCATTTCAAGACAAAATAGTAGTTGTCGTCATTTGCAAAGAAAAAATTGCTGTGTTCATTTGAAAGTTAATTTTTTTATTGGTGAAATGAAGAGCGCATAAATCAATTATATACATAAAATAATTTATAATTTATATAATATACTAAATCTAATTCAATCGTAACGATTCCACCAACTAACGTATTGCAAAAATCAATATTGTATATAAAGTATAATATATATATACTATAATATATAATATTGTATATTGTATATATCTTCCCTGAAAGACCGTTTAGTCAGTGCATGCACACACACATATATATATATATTTGGTTGGATTGATGTGAAACCCAGGGTCACAAACTCACATCAATCCAACCAAATATGTTAGCTCTATAACTGATATTGAGCGCTTTCTAATAAGTACCGCGCATATAATATATAAATAATTATACATATATATTTATTTATATTTATATACACACACGTTTCACACACACGTTTCACACACACACACATACACACACACACACACATATATATATATATATGCACTGACAGAAAACGAAAAGTTACCTGAAAGACGATCTCAATTTTCACCTGGGTACATTGTTTACCTTCTAGTTGGCAGTAGATATAAATTTGTTAAACTTATCTTTTATCTTCTAACGTCATAACACTCATCCCAGTGCACTGTCTGTGTCAGAGTTGGTAGACGATGTATTATGCTGCGAAAAGGTTTAAAATGATGAAAATTGTAATGTCATACCACACAGATACACATGCACTCCTTTTGTTCTCCTTGAGCCACTGGAGAGGGGTCAGGTGATGGATGTTCATTTCGGAAGATATCTTCGCCTGTTGATAAATAGATAACATCTTAGAAATTTTTATGAAGCATTGTTTTTAATTTCTTGGATCTTATAACTTCAAAATAGTTTCATAAACGGAAATGATATATTATTTTTAATTGTTTTGTTATAATGCTGATTATAAATGATTTTTTTTTAAGACGGTTGCGTTGAAATATGTGCTAATTTCGTTTGGTTTGGTTTGTTTTACGGCATATCAACCTCAATGGGTTATGTAATGCCGATAAGATTTTTATTGCCGATAATTTTTTTTTTTCAGAAATGTATTGCTGGTAATTTTTTTTCTTTAAAAAATGTATTGCTGTTAATACCTTTTTTTTTAAAAAAAAACATATTGCTTGTAAAATCTGTTTTTACAAAAAGGTATTGCTGGTAATATCTATTTTTACAAAGTATTTCTGGTATTAAAACATATTTTTCACTTTCATAGTGTTTTGACCCAAGTTTAGGGTTAACTATTTGCCCATAACTTGGACCCTAACAGGTGCTACCACCACGGGTCAGGGTGGACCTGGGAACACCAGCAATTAAAAGGTGGTTCCATGCTCCTCATAACCTGAGGCCTTGCTGTTGGACCTAGTTTATCGTCTTACCCAGGACGCGGATGTAGTTTAACGTCTTACCCAGGAAGATTTAGTTTATCGTCTTACCCAGGACGCGGATGTAGTTTATCGTCTTACCCAGGACGCGGATGCAGTTTATCGCCATACCCAAGACGCGGATGTAGTTTATCGTCATGCCTAGGATGGGCTAATTTGGCTTGCAGTAAATAGTAAACTAGTTTTATTTCTTACAGAATATTTTTATTGACAAACAAAAGATAGCTATTCTAGTTTATTTAAAGAATTTGCAGTAAGTTTACTTCAAGCCATGTGAGTGTTGCTAAAATATATCACAAGTAAAAAATATTCAAGACGCGTGCTGAGGGAGCTCCCATAATTTCATTAGCTTCGGGTGCAACAAAGTCATAATTCGGCCCTGGGGGGTGACCTCAGTTACATCACTCGCTTGTATTTGATGTCTGTGGAGGAAACATTGAATAGAGTCATGTGCGTCCAGATCATTTTTTCAGTTCGCTTTGCTTTATTTCTTGAAAGGTGATGTACTGCTTCAGCAGAATAATGTTCGCCTACATGATGCCCAAGGAGGATAGACAGTTCATAATATGAGTACGGTTGATATATCCGATCGTGTTTTTTTTTTTTTTTAATTTATTTATTCCTGTATTGATTTCTATATTTGATTATACACTGTAATATTAATATATTAACTAGACGTTTAATGTTTGTGCAAAATGAAGTACATATACAGGGTGTGGCAATTTTATTTTATTTTAGTGTATACATCTGTATTACTAATTTGCATGTAATAATACAAATGGATGCTTAATACACGCACACACACACACTCATATATATATATATATATATATATATATGTGTGTGTGTGTGTGTGTGTGTATGTATGTGTGTGTCTGTGTGCGTGTGTCCGTCTGTAGGTGTGAATATTTAGGAGTGCATTAGTTTCTTAATTATCAGCTATGATGTTGCGTGCAGGTTCGCATGTTCAAATGCTAACTCATTAATCGCGCTGTGAGTAGAGAGGCCCAGCGGAAAGCCGTGATAGAAATAGATTTAAAAAAAACAAACAAACAAACAAAAAAACCCAAAAAACGGATAGCGACTCACCTAAATTGATAAATTGAGGTTTGGGCAAACATTGCTTTGCGTGTCGCGAAAGAAATGACAAGTAAAGACGATGTTGATAGAAATTATTACCTTTACAAATGAGAAATGGTGGCTCATCGATTGCTCTTTGTTGGTCATAGGTAACTCAACGGTATTTATTGAATAGATTCTTCTTTTTATGGAGTGAGTAAATCGTTTCATATATTTAACCTTTCATTCTGTTGTTAAATTGTCAAGAACGCATATCATGGCGTAAAAATTGTCAGGGACACCTACCGATGCGCAAAAATTGTCAGGGGCGTTTACTGTTGGTCAGACATTGTCAGGGACATCTACCGTTCCGCAAAAATTGTCAGGGGCGCCAACTGTTGGTCAAACATTGTCAGGGACACCTACCGTTGCGCAAAAATTGTCAGGGGCGCCTACTGTTGGTCAAACATTGCCAGGGACACCTACCGTTGCGCAAAAATTGTCAGGGGCGCTTACTGTTGCTCAAACATTGCCAGGGACACCTACCGTTGCGCAAAAATTGTCAGGGTCGCCTACTGTTGGTCAAGCATTGTCAGGGACACCTACCGTTGCGCAAAAATTGTCAGGGTCGCCTACTGTTGGTCAAGCATTGTCAGGGACACCTACCGTTGCGTAAAAATTGTCAGGGGTGCCTACTGTTGGTTATACATTGTCGGGGACACCTACGGTTGCGCAAAAATTGTCAAGGGCGCCTACTGTTGGTCAAACATTGTCAGGGACACCTACCGTTGCGCAAAAATTGTCAGGGGCGCCTACTGTTAGTTAAACATTATCAGGGACACCTGCCGTTGCACAAAAATTGTCAGGGGCGCCTACTGTTGGTTAAACATTATCAGGGACACCTGCCGTTGCACAAAAATTGTCAGGGGCGCCTACTGTTGGTCAAACATTGTCAGGGACACCTGCCGTTGCACAAAAATTGTCAGGGGCGCCTACTGTTGGTCAAACATTGTCAGGGACACCTACCGTTGCGCAAAAATTGTCAGGGGTGCCTACTGTTGGTCAAACATTGTCTGGGACACCTACCGTTGCGCAAAAATTGTCAGGGGCGCCTACTGTTGGTCAAACATTGTCAGAGGCGTCTACTGTTGGTCAAAAATTCTAAGGGGCGCCTAACGTTAAGCAAGTTCGTCTTACGGACTGACTCATTGCTTTCGTTATTTCGATCTTCACGAATGACATTTTACCTGATTAAGCGACGTTTAGGTTCGAGATCTTTTTTACAGGATTATTGAAGTGCTTAACGAGAAATATTTGTCATGCCAAGAGCCTATTCACCTTGGAAAAGAGCCTGAATTGTTGCTCTCAATGAAGAACAACGACAAAGACTTCTGTGGTCAATGATTAAATAAAATATTAACCAAGGTAAAAATTTCATAATGTTGAAAATGAGGTCAAATTTCCATGAAATGACCTAAAATTAAGCACTAAACCCGTGAGCACATCATGGAAGATACGATAAAAATCAAGTTCTTTTATCAGGAAATACATTTTTTTTTCTCTTAGCTTTCCTTTCATTTTCTTTATTTTTATTCCTGCCTATTTTTACTTTTCAATTTTGTTCTTTCCTTTTATTTTTTCATTTTTTCTTTCTTTTTCATTTTTGTTCTTTTCTTTTAATTGTTTCAATTCATTCCTTTTTTTCATCTTTGTTCTTTTTTTTTCATCTTTTAAATTCTTTCCTTCTTTTTTCATTTTTATTCTCATTAGTTTTCATTTCTTAATTTTTTTCTTTCAATTTATTTCCTTTTTTAGATTTCTTATTTTCTTCCTCTTCTTTTTCTCGTTCCACTTCTCTTTGTTCTTCTCATTCTTTTCCTTTCTTTCTTTTTCTTTTTCATCAGTGCAATTCATCCTTTCTTTTTCTTCATTTTCCTTCATAATGGCTGATATGATTTCCTTCTTACCTTCATTCCTTCATTCATTCAATCTTCTTCTATTTCATCATTTACTTCTTTCATCTCAAGCAAATTTATTTGTTTTTTTTTTGCAATTCATTTTTCCGATTTTTTCTTTCATCTTATCACGTGTATTTATTTGATGTTTTCATGAGTGCGCATGAGCACAACTGTGTCAGTTGTCAGATGAAAGACAGAAACGGAAGTGACTAAGGAGACATATTTCCGCCTTGATTTGTGTCCGAGCCTCTGTTGTTGTTCCGCAATCGTGAAGAAGGTGAACGAGCACACATCAATGGTGACAATATGTATATATACAATATATTCTCCCATATATATATATATATATATATATATATCGTCATATATATATATATATATATATATATATATATATATATATATATATATATATATATATATATATATATATATATATATATATATATATCAACTCAGTGTTTTTTTCTGTTTTCCTTTTGAATTTGTAGGTCTGATGAATTGGATCGTATTTACGATTCCAATGGAATAAATTATGACCATGGAATATTAGTGTTTAAGCCTTTTTATTATATCCTTACTCTGCCCTGGACATTGAGTTCTACCTGGATTTTTTCCTCTTGGAATTTTTTATTCTAAAAAAATATACATGTGTGGGTATTTATATATTTCGCATACGTATGTATATTTACCACTAATATCTATCTATCTATCTATCTATATATA